AGCTCCGCAATCGAAGACAACACGCAGCTTCTGTTTAACTGGATGTCTGACTCCATGGTGAGGTAAGTACCAAATCTTGTTGTTCTTCCTCTCATTTTCACAATGTGGAACTCCGACTGCGTAGCCTTTTTCCAAGATGCCATCCATAAATGCCACATATTCTTTGTGATATTGTTCATCTCTGGAAAACTTTTTCAGATTCAGTGCACGTTGCTCTGCCACTGATCTATTGTTCAGCATATGCAGTGGATCTGCCTTGATTGGAAGACAGATATTGTAATGTCCGTTTTTCATCTCAGCAGAATGTGAAACCATGGAGATAAATTGGTGGTCATCCTTTGACATTTCAAGCTCTTCTGTTAATCCCGCATCAGGAAAATCTTGTTTAAATTGCAGCTGCCAGAGGTCCTCCAAGATAGCAACTGAAATCCTGTTTACAGACACTTTAGTCCATGTATCAGTTTGCCTGGACTCTCCTCCGCCTCTGAGCGGTCCGTTTATTGTCCAGCCGAGTAACGTTTTCACAGCGTATGGTCCATTATCCACACTTTTCACCACTTGAAGTGGTTCCATAGCTTGAGCAACATTTTGTACATCCAAAATGCAGCAGCTAGAGTCCTGACAGGAACCAGGAAGTATGACCATATTAGTCCGGTCCTCAGGTCTCTGCACTGGCTTCCTGTGGCTCAAAGAATAGATTTTAAAACGGCTCTGCTTGTGTACAAGTCTCTCCATGGCCTTGCACCAGAATACATTAGTGACATGTTGGTGTCATATGAACCGGCCCGGACTCTGAGGAGCACAGGGACTGGCCTCCTGCTGGTGCCCAGAGTGAGAACCAAACATGGGGAGGCTGCGTTTCAGATCCATGCAGCTAAGATCTGGAACAATCTCCCTGAAAATGTGAGGGAGGCGTCTACTCTGTCAATGTTCAAATCCAGGTTAAAGACTGTTCTGTTTGCCTGTGCATATAACTGAAGGATTTTATCTCCATTTTTAATGCACTGCTGTCATTTATTTATTTTTTTAAATTTCTTGTGTAATTTTGAAAGTTTTAATGGTTTTATTCTTTTGTGTGATTTTAATGTTTTAATTGTGTTTTAATCTTTTGTGTGATTTTAATGTTTTAATTGTGATTCTGGTGTTTGTTTTATGTGATGATTTGTGATGTGGACTGTGAAGCGCTTTGTGTTGCCCTGTGTATGAAAGGCGCTCTACAAATAAACTTTGATTGATTGATTGATTGATTTGCTCCGATGAGCAATTCGATTTCAGCTTGAACAACAGGGATTTTCTCTTGTTTCAGATGCGGCCAGTTATTCACATCTTCTTGACGGGGTATGTTCTCTTTGTTTACTGGAATCAGCTTTTGTGAGTAAACTTCTGACAACTGTATGAAGCGTTTACAATCCAGACTGCTGACATCTAGTCCATTCACAATAAAAGTATTAACAACAGATTCTTGTCCCATTGTTCTTAATAGAATACTGGTGTTATGTCCATTCATGTTCAACTCAGTGTCTCAGTAGCAAAAGTAGCAGTACTTCCGGGATCCAGAAAAGCATAAGTCATGACTACTTTTGTTCCTTTAACTGCTTTAACACACACTGGAACAATAGAAAGAGTGCAGTCCTCTCTACCGGCCCCTGTGCGACTACGAGCTTCCAGAGTCTGCACCAGCCCACTTGAAATGGTTTGCTGCTCGTAGCTATCCTTCATGTTTTCTTCTTCTTTGGGTTTAATGTTTATGTGCAGTAAAGTGGGATGCGGTCCCGCACATTCCTGACAAGATGACTTCTCTTTACAACGTTTGCTCATATGTCCATGTTTCAAACAGGAAAAACACAATCCTCTGCGCTGCAGGACGTAGATCTTCTCCTTGTGGGATTTGCAATAAGCGCAGGGTTTGCCGTTTGCATCCACAGGTAAGTTTGATGTTTGATTGGTGGAAATGTTCATTTTATTATACTCCACAGACGATGGAACAACAGCTGTACTGAAGACCTTTTTTGGTTTTGTTGACTCTGGAGCACGTGGTTTAAACTTTTGGTGCATTGATTCATATCCACTGGTGCTTGTGTCCTTTATATTTCCATAAAGTGGATGGACCATGTATTTGGCTTGTTTTGAAATAAAATCCACAAAATCCTTGAACTTGACTCTTTTTTGTTCTTTCTTGTAAATCACAAGCAAACTTTCTCCAAGCCTCTTTCATTTCATAAGGAAGCTTGCTGACCAGCATTTTAATATTTGCCGTATTGTCCAAATCTTCCAGATATGTGATGCTTGACATAGCATTACAACATCCAATCAAAAACAATGAAAAAGATTGTAGTGCAGCGCCATCTTCTGGTCTGATTATTGGCCAGTCCGTTACTTCTTTAATGTATGCTTCTGCAATCTTATATTCATCTCCAAAAAAGTCTTTTAGCAATTGCTTTGCCTTGTCATAGCCAGCAGTTGGCTCCATATGTATACTGCTCTTTACCAATTCATGAGGCTGTGCACTGGTGTATTGCAGCAGAAAGTGTAGTCTGTCACGTGCATCACTTGTGTGTCCCTCTATGCTGTGTTCAATAGATCTGATAAATGTCCAGTATTGAAAAGGATCACCACTAAAAGTAGAAATTTTCAATTCAGGAAGCAGTGTGGCTTTATGATTTTTTACCAAATAGTCTGTGCAAAGCTTTGAGTCAACAGGCTACTGTCACAAACTGTCAAATGCTGGTCCCTCTGCTAGCTCCAAGTTGAGTGCAGTTGAGGATCTTGGTGGTACACCCAAAGCTATTTGAATATTATCTCTGTTGTTGGTTGGAGGTGAAACATGTTGGGATGAGTGAAAAGTGGGTGGCTGGTTCTGCGTGTTATCCACTCTGTGTCCAGCAGGTGGTAGCACTAACTGGACCGGCTGCGTATTTGGAATATTTAATATTTGTCCATCCTCCTCTTCATCATCAGTAAAGTCCAACGGATCATTAACAGTTTGAGAGTTGTATTTTTCTAACACTTCCATTTTAGCCTCAGACTCAGCGAGTGCAGTTTGAATCTCGTGCATTTCCTTCTTTGCTTTCAAATGTGATTCAATCCGTTTTTGCTCCATTTCAAATTCCACTGACTTCAGCTTTTCTTGAGCCTCTCTGTGTTTCTTCTGCGCCAGTATCTCAGCTTCTTCTCTTTCAATTGCCAACTTTTCTTTTAAGGCAGATGCTTTTATCTTTAGTGACGCGCGCTCCATCGCTGTGTTCATGCGCATTGATGCCGTAGAACGAGAAGATGCCTTGCTTGATTGAGAATGCTTGCTGCGTTTACTGCTTGTTGTAGATCTCACATCCAAATCCACTTGTGTTGCACGCCCCGTGGTATATTCCGTTACGGGCGTTGGCTCACGTGCGGTTGCGCCCTTTTCCGACTGATCTTTGTCCACAGCGTCTTGTTTTAAAACATTAATCATCCAATCCTCACATTTCCAGAAATAGTCATTAATGTACTTGTTCTTTGGCTCGAACCATTTATTCTGATCATTCACATATTCCTCCTCATCCATGTAGTTCTTCAGCACCACATTAATGTCACAGAATTCTTGATGCAAACGATGATAATCAACCCGAAATGTATTCTTCACAATGTCTGCATTTGTGTCACTTTGCATCAGCTCATCCATTTGTTTAATCATAGCCGCTAGTTGTGAGACTTTGCGTTTCCGTGCGTTAATATTCCTAGTTTTATGATCCTCCATTCCTTTCTCGGTAAGTATCACTGTCCGCTTCTCTCCAATCTGCTCCGCTCCCTCAGACATCTTGCTTGTCTTTTACGCACAATATTAATCCACAGTATATAAGGGTACGAATAATCCACAAAATAGTCCAGTATATCCACAAATATTGGTATTATAATTCATTTAATCCATGCGTAATAATGCCGCAGGTGCTTGGATAGTTCAGATTAGCAGTGATCAAACTTCAGATGTTTCTTTCATTAAAATCCTCCGTTCCACAGTGAAAGATCATAGTCCAACTTGTACTCACAAACTTCAGCAAACATGTCCATTTGTCCATTAATCCATCGTGGAGCAAGATTTTTGACTATAGGGTCCAAACAGTGAAGCCATGTAGTTGACGCTCTCATAATCCATATAGTGTGTAGTGAGTGAATAAATCCAGGAAACAGTAAAAATAAATCAATGATTAACTTAGCAATAATGACTTACAAAACAGCTAACTAAATTAGATGCGAAATATCAAAATTAAATCAATTGCCAATTAATCATAAATCTAATCTAATCACAAAAATAATGTATTTCAATCAAATAATAATACAAACAAATAGAAATATATCAAAATAAAATGAAAACAACTAAACCTATATTTAGGCTCCTACAAAAACATTTTGAAGGCTGGCAACAAGTGATAACCCAATTAATAAAAGCGTTAATATGGACAACTACAACAATCAATCAAATATAATTGCATGCATTATGAGTACATTAAAATGTTTATTTTCCCAACGTTCACTGTTGCCAGGACAAACGTCTCCATGGCAACCAGAATGTGTCAGATCTCGGTGATGTCATCAGCAGAACATGCAGAGATTAGGTGGCCACAGAGATCATCTGTATCCACATAAAGAGGCAAGTATTTGACCTTAGTACACACAGGACAAAGAGCTACAGGCAAACCCACAGCACAGGACAGAGAGAAACGATCTTTCAAAGAAGCAAGATGGGAAAAAATTCAAAGAAGAGAAGAAACCAGAAAATATCTCCCAGTATGGCAGACAGACCCTATGTGTCAAATCATGAGCTGTCTGCAAAAGCTGCAAATTCTGAGTCTGAATCTGCAAAACCAGCTGATTCTGAAACAAAAGAGGTTTGGAAGTATTATAAATACGATGCAGGAAAGGACATTTGGTATAAAAGGCCAGTTACACCGACTCAGCAGAACAAGGAGGCTCCAGTTACACAGGTCTTATCACCAATTAATGAGACTGAAGATGTTGACTCTTCAAGTGAGCTTCCGACTCCTACAGGTAAAAACAGGAGAAAAAAGGAAACTGTACGGTTACAAAGTCTTCTCATCCAACTGGAGCCAAGCAGAAGAGAGACTCTGACCAATGACGAGGCAGCTCAGGAACGTTCAACTCCGAGGCCTGAAGTCACAAAAACAAGAGTTCACTACGCCGATATTCTGGATGAGCCAAAGGAGTTTGATGGTCCTTCAGTGAGACTGAAAAAGACAAGTTCGATAAAGGCATTAGATCACTTCTTCACCCACATGCCAGATGATGAGCTAGATATCGATTACTATTGTAGGCCATTGAAAAACTATAATAATGAAAAAGCTAATGTTCAGGCAGCTACAAACTTTCAGGCTCCAAAACCAATCCATTTGCCAATGAAGGTGACTGCCCTTTCCAACCATGAGCAGGTCAAGGAGGCACCTGTCTTTGACAAAAAACCTCAAAAGGACCCAAGGATTATTGAGCAGACCCGCCCTGCTTACAAAAACAACAGGGAATATGAAAATGTTTCAAGGGTTCCTGAGACAATCAATCACCCTGCTCATTTCCAGAAAAGTTACTGTCAAGCAGTATCCACTCCCAACCACCTGGTCACAAAAGAAAAATGTGATCCAGAGCCTTTGCAGGAGACAGGTCCTTCTGCAAGGTCAATGACTGAATTGAGGGATAATGAGGAGGCAAGAGACCAATTCTGGAGTAGGCCTCAAAGTAGCAAGATGGGAAAAAACTCACCGAATCAGCAGAACAAGGAGGGTCCAACAACACAGGCCTTATCACCAATTCCTGAGACTGAAGTGGTTGACTCTTCAAGTGAGCTTCCAACTCCTAAAGGTAAAAACAGAAGAGCAAAGGAAACTGTACGGTTACAAAGTCTTCTCATCCAACTGGAGCCAAGCAGAAGAGAGACTCTGACCAATGACGAGGCAGCTCAGGAACCTTCAACTTCGGGGCCTGAAGTCACAAAACCAAGTGTTCACTTTTATGCCGATATCCCAGATGAGCCAAAGGAGTTTGACGGTCCTTCCGTGAGACCTAAAAAGACAAGTTCGATAAAGGCATTAGATCACTTCTTCACCCACATGCCCGATGATGAGCTAGATATTGATTACTATTGTAGGCCTTTGAAAAACTATGCTTATGAGAAAGCAACAAATGTTCAGACAGCTACAACATTCCAGGCTCCAACACCAAAGCCTTTGCCAATGAAGACGACTGCCACTTCAAAAATTGAACAGGTCAAGGAGGCACCTTTCTTAGACGAAAAACCCCAAGAGGACCCAAGGATTATTGAGCAGACCTGCCCTGCCTACAAAAACAACAGGGAATATGAAAACTTTTCAAACGTTTCTGAACCGACCAATCACCCTACATATTACAAGAAAAGTTACAGTCAAGCAATATCCACTCCGAACCGCCTGGTCACAAAAGAAAGATGTGATCCAAAGCCTCTGCAGGAGACTGGATCTTCCGCAAGGTCAATGACTGAAATGTGGGATGGTGAGGAGGCAAGTGAGGAATTCTGGAGTAGGCCTCTGGAATTTCTTCCAACAAGTCCAACAAACATAGAAGATTGGAAAGCCTCAGTTGAAATACTGGAGGTACATTTTGGACCGTCAACATCCAATGAGAAGGCTGTGGAAGTGACCGGTCATTCTATAATGGATGATGATGAATTTGAGGACTTTGATGAGTTCAATATTGGATTTATAGAGTTTTACAAAACAGGCATGTCCAAACTGGACATGAGTGCCACGTATCGCTCTTCCAACTGGAATTGTGCTATATAAGGACCGCTATCTCCGGTCTGTTACGATGACGCCATAAGCAGAACATACACAAGCAAAGATTAGGTAAACACAGAGAGATACATAATTTTGACTTTCGCACAGAACTATAGGCTTTGTGCTAAAGTCAAAGAGTTATGGCTAAACTCTAACCACACGCTGCGAAAAACAGTCTTTCAAAGTAGCAAGATTGTTGCCTTATCACGGATTTTGGCATAAAAGGTCAGGTACATCGACTATGTGGTCGGTATAACTGGTCAGGTACATCGACTAAGTAGTCGGTATAACTGGTCATTTCTGGAAAGCAACAAATGTTCGGACAGTTATAATATCCCAGGCACAAAGTAGCTGCCAATGAAGGCAATTTCCTATTTAAAACACTGAAACGGTCAAGGTGGCTCCAGTCTTTGACAAAAAACTTTAGGCGAACAAGGAGGGTCCATTTAAACAGGTCTTACCACCAATTCCTGAGACCAAGGTGGTGTGTGAAAGAGACAAGTTGTACATGTCCACTGACAGATCTAACATCAATTCATTAACATTTGACTCTTCAAGTGAGCTTCCAACTCCAAAGGTAAAAACAGGACGGATACAAACTCTTCTCATCCAACAGGAGCCAAGCAGAAGACAGATTGTGACCAATGACGAGGCAGCTCAGGAACCATCAACTTCTGGGCCTGAAGTCACAAATCCAAGAGTTCACTTCTAGTTCACTTCTCAGGCGATATCCCAGATGAGCCAGAGGAGTTTGATGGTCCTTCAGTGAGACCTAAAGAGCAAAGTTTTACAATGGCATCGGATTGCTTCTGCTCCCATATGCCTTATGATGAGCCACAACTATAGGTCTTAAAATATGCAATAGACTAAACTAGCTTGAAAGCTAATGAGAAAGCAAAACAGAAAACAGCTACAAAAAGTCTTTGATGAAAAACTTCAAGAGGACTCAAGGGTTATTGGGTTACAGAGTTATGAGTACCACTTACCGCTCTCCCAACTTGAATTGTGTTATATAAGGACCACTGTCTCTGGTCTGATCCCCAGAGAACTCTTTAAACTGTGTCAAAAAAATAAATAAAATATTTTACCCTTTAAAGAATGGTGTACAATGTCTTCAGGTCGGATTAATAAGTGTGATGCATAAATAAGTGAATATGAGGGACTGATACAGAGTTATTGATATTTTGAACAACTTTTAAAATTTCTATTGTTCAATGTGTCATCTTAGTTTAGTTTTATTTGGGTCTAAATATTGTTCAAAACACACACAAATAAAGAAGAGGCAGGTATATTGTTTAAAAGAAATGCTGCTCGCAGTTATCAGAGCAGGTCGTGAGGGGATTACTGAGCACAACTTCCGCAAACATGGGCAGAACATGCAAACTCCATTTAGCAAGGCCCTTTTCTGACCAGAACTCGAACCCAGGAACCTTGTTGGTCAGAAGCGAGGGTGCTAACCACTCAGCCACTGTGCTAAAAAACTGACAGGAAGCACATGAAGCACTCCCCTGTAGAGGCTGGGAGACTTGTATAAAATGCACTTAGAGATGGTGACTTCTGATGACTTCGAACATTGAAATAGAAATGTAATAACATTACATTTGAAATCTTGAAATATCCAACAATATCTTACTAATTTCCACAAACTTCTGAAATATTTGCAAACAATTGTAACTAAGAAAGTAAGTAAGTAATCTTTATTCATATAGCGCATTTTTACAGACCAAGGTCACCCAAAGCCCTTTACATTTACACACTTTACATCATGAAAAGAATATTCTCAAATCATAATATTCTATAGTTATAAATATCTTGAATTTTCCCGCCCGGTATAATGAATGCTTTTGGGACTCGCACCTACAACAATAATCAGCCTCATAGCTTGAGTTCCTTAGATTTTGTATTAATAAAAAACAATTAAATAGGTTTTTTTTTGTGAGCTGTAAATATTATTATAAAGCACTAGTGTTTTATTGTAGTTTGCTAATAGAGCTTTTGATGACATCTGCACACCTGACCAAGGGACGAAAGTTGAAATCGTAACTTTCTTTGAACTGGCACTTTTAACGAAAAAAATCATGTGTATTTGTATATCAACACACATGAAGATAATATTTGATACTGAAACTAGATTCTCAATTGAGAATTTGAGCTTCTTTGAGCATTGGAAACATTAGAAAACATTCAATCCTCAGTGTTATCAGAGGATGAGAAGGAGTTTCTTCCATGAAGCCAAAAGATACTAAACCGAGCCTAACTCTGTGTTATTGTGTGTTCCAAATACTGTACTGAACATCTGCTGGAGGTACAGAAGAATTTCACGACATGTAATGTGCATGTTACAAACAATAATTAACTAAACATAAAATAGACATTGGTATTGGAATCCAGTTTTTTTATAAACATGGAAATCGAGTTTGTCATTTTTGTTCAGTGACATCACTAGTGCATGGTCCCAGTTCAAACAAATAGGAAAATATCTACTCATGAGGAAAAGTGGTTTACTTCAAAGGCTGTGGAAGATTTGAAGGCGCAGATGAATGAGTGAGCATCATTTCTATTATCTCAGTGTCTGCTTGTTATCTGTGGTGATGTAATGCAGGGACAGTGATCTCCAGCTGTACCGAGGCCCCGGGGAAGACCTAGGACACGCTGGAGGGACTATGTCTCTCAGCTGGCCTGGGAACGCCTTGGGGTCCCCCCGGACGAGCTGGAGGAAGTGTGTGTGGATAGGGGAGTCTGGGCGTCTCTGCTTAGACTGCTGCCCCCGCGACCCGGCAACGGATGAAGCGGAAGAAGATGGAATGGAATGGAATAGGGTATTACTAGATTAAAGCTGTCCCACCCATGGGCACAGGGGGCGCCCGTGGTACTACAGACTAAATTCACGAGGGCTACCCAGGAAAAAGTTCCATAGATCTCAATGTAAATTAAAACAGCTTGACCTCAGCTGACAGTGAACCTACAGCTTTCAGAAAGATGGGATTTTGAGGTGATTTTAGTGTCCCTTGTCATCCAGAACTTTTTTTCTTCTTAAATCCTTCTGTTTTCTTTAAATCCACCCTTTACAGCCACAAACTCTGCTCCTTTCCTTCCCGCTCTGGCTCTGCTCTGCTGCTGCTCTGATCAGCAGCTCTGATTGGTCAGAGCGCGGCAGAGCCCCTCTGTGCGCGCCATGAAAGCCACACATGCGTATTTGGCGCAACGCATCATGGGAGCTCGTCCACTGCACAGAACCGGGAGGACCAGACGATGCCCAAATACAGAGTTCTGCTAATCTCCCGGTCTCCGAGAAGTCCCATGCGCAACTGAGCACAAGCCATTCATTTGAATGATCACCGGGGCTTGGTTAGCTCTGTTTTGTTTAAGCTAAGCTATACGCCCAAATCCAAATCTCACAAGTACAAAATAGAATTTACTTGTGTTACATGAGTTACATGAGTGTAAATGTAAGATGTAGTGATTCATTTATAACTCTGTAACAAGGTACAATGTTCATTTATTTCTTTTGACTGTACATTGTTTGTACAATTTATTGAAACACGTTTCTATGTATTTTTTTGCAGTTTTACAACTTCACAGAGACAAGTTTGGAGGAAAAACAAGTAAAATTGAATGTCTCTACATGGTCTTCCTCTTTTTGTTGTTCTCCATCTGTCTAGCCCTGGTAGTGACGTATGGAAGTGACACCATAGTGAGGACAGAATAGTAAAAGGACATGTGCTATTGATAGTTACAGTTTATGGTCTAAACATGTTGTGTTCGAAATAATGCTTCATGAACTATTAAGTATGAGGCTTTCAGTAAATTGTGTTGATAAATATATTGCATCCAAAGTAGTTTTACAAAAAAGTGTTTAATCGAGGAAAAACAACCATTGAGGTGGATTAATTAAACACAACAAACCATTCATTTCCCACATATCAAATATATTTACTTTACAAATACAAAATTGTATTTGTTTCCAACGGAATACAAAACCAGTTACCTTTAATACCTGAGCCCAAAATTGACCAACTACGCTACTCATCACACACGTACGCACACAGGAGACACACACGTAATCACACAGAGACACACACGTACGCACACAGACGAGTAAAGCCGCGGATCACAAAGCAACCTGTCAAAGCGATGGACTCTGAAGTGCCTCAA